GGACCTGTTAGATGACTAAGTGGTATTACATTTTTGTTTTAAAATCTATAATTTTAAGACAAGATGTCTTGTATTCTCTTATACACATAGAGTTTCAAATGGTATTGTGTTTAATTTCACATGATAGTCTCTTCTTTGCACTTACTGGTAATGCTATCTGTCCTGTAAGGCTCTGCATGGAAATAAGGTTTTCGTATATGTAAATAAGAGCAAAAAGACCACAAGTTTCATACACAGGTAGCTCATGCAAAGCCATTTCTGTCACCCAGATCTAGAAATTCATGTCAAAGAGGAGGCAAAATGGACACCATCACAAGATTGCAGTACTACCAGGTAGTACATTTCTTTCCTTATAAACTAAATGTAAGTCAATTCTATGCAATACCACCTTCCTATGGGTCTTATGTCCTCAAAATGTGAAAGCCACATTTAAATTCTGATTTTACATGAACCCGAGACACTTTGTATATTTTTAGTTAGCAAAATGAAGATTTCCAAGCTCTTCATTGAAATGCAACCATCTTGGGACTAAGGAGCTACTGTGAATCATTGGTATCAATGCAAAATACAGCATACAGCAAAATACAGGAGAGGACTTGAAGAATAAATTATCCAAAGGGGATTCAGCCAGGCACAAAAGAAAACTTTCAGGCTGTAATATGGTCAAGTAATTATAAATGGGAAAGTGAATCCTTAGTGGTACACTAAAGGTGCTGGAACTGAGTTGTGCTGCTCATGAGAGCAGCACCTTTGGGCCCTAAGCTGCCACAGCTAAAGCAGTGCTCAGCCATCACATCCACAGCGGCTGCTTTTCCTTGTGGATTCCCATTTAACTGCACTCCCTGCCCAGCACTGAAGCTGTGAAGACAGATGTCTGTTTAAACACATGGAAAAGGGAAAAAATCCAGCCTTCTTAAAGGAAGAAAATAATGCTCCTGAAAAAGAGATGCACTTACTGCTGTCACATCTCTGAAGAACTGGGTGGGGTCTCCAAGTCCAGCCACAGACAACAGAGGAGCACTGGCAGCTAATGCTCCGGCCACAACGTTTGGGTATTTCATTCTCATGTATGCGCTCAGCATTCCTCCATAGCTGCCACAGGACAGATAAAAGAGTAATTTCCTTTAACAGACAGCTTATAACATAATAAGTCAAAAGTTCAGGCCAGCATTCACAGGCTCACCTAACTGAAGGCAACAAAAAACTTATGGATATCTACTAGATGCCATCCTCATGTCAAAAGATCCAGTTATGGTGAATGAGCAGCACACAATGTATTGTTCCTGGCCTTTCCCCAGACACTCACACCAACTCCGGTGGGAACACAGTAGCCCAGTTTGTTTGTGCAGCCAAATGCAAATCTTGCCTCAATATTTAACTCTGCACCATCCTGAGTGTGTCCTGACAGCTTCAGTGCAGACCCAAGTGAGGCTCAAGTGGAACTGTCACTGTTCAGTGGGGGAAGGAGACACATTTTGCATACAGATTTAATAAGACTAGATAGGCTCTTAGCAAAGGGTGTCCCTGAACACTACAGAATATGTAGCCCTCTCTAGTGCTGGGAAGTGGAGAATATTCTCCCTGGGCACCCCAAATAACAACTGCATAGATGATCAGGGCAGATATAGGGAAGGGGAAATGTTAACAAATACCACAATAAAACTCAAAGACACCTTGATAGCTTCAGTGCCAGGGCCACAATCTGCAGGTATATCAAGGGCTGCTAGATAAACCCAAGGTGACAAAAGTTATTCATATGCAATGTTTGCAGAGTTTTTCTGAGTAACTCCACTCCTGCGAGTGGCAAATGACATGCCCAAAACGCAGGTAACACCCAGTCTGACTCCAGGCTTAGAGGTATTCAAGTCTCCCTCCCCATCACATAGAGTGGTTGGAGTAAATACCATTCCCACATCACCTGCGTGTAAAGCAATATACATTTCTCTAACCCTGGTGTTGGAAACAGGCATTAGCTGAAACCTGCCATAAGTAATTTTAGGTTAAAATTTGTCAAAGTTATAAGCACCAGAAGAGGGTTTTTTTTTTCCCCTCCCATGGGAAATGCTGTGCTGCTCCAACACTGCCATATTTCAGTACTGTTCCCATGGGTTTAGTGCTGTTCAGGGCTGCTGCAGACTGAACTCTGATTTACACACGTGGAGCTGTGGAGCCCAGCTAGCAGGTTTATGCTGAATCCCTCTCCCACCTCAGGGCAGCTCCTGGCCCTTTTTAGACTAGCTACTGTCCTGAGAGTCACAGTACAAACACCCCTGAGATCAACAGTCCAGCCACCACCACAGTGAGCTAGAAGCTTAATGATAACTGTCAGGTCACATGCTTTTTAGCTCACTGCAACTGAATCAGAAGCCCTGTATTTGGTGGAAGCCTTTTAAAGGCAAGCACCCCTCTACTACAAGCATGGGGAGCCATTCAAGAGAAAGGATGTTGCTTTAACATAGCTCTGAGCTGCAACAGAGCAAGTACTTTGGGGAAGTCCTTCTGGTAGGAAGCCAGGAGCAACCAAGCAGCAGGTTGCAGAGCAGAATTATAAAGGAGCCTACAATGAAAATGTCTGGATGTTGTTAAAGAGGCTGTGTTTAATAAAAAGCTGGATGGCCTCTAGTTTTCTGTATTTGCCATGTAAAATGTTCTGATCCTGCAGGAGGAATTTCCCATTTTCTGCAGTTCTGGCTGACTCGTACATTGAAGATGCCTAGAAACACCCAGTGAGCGGTGCTTCTCCAAAGCAATCACAAATCAAGACTAATTCTTGATGGGAGAGCTGACTGGGACCTGGTGATGAGCTCTCGGGAGCTCAGGCACAGGTGCATCTGCTCTCTGTTGGATAGCTTAAAGCTATGCCTTTGGAACTTGTCTGAGGGCCAAACAGATCTGTTAGAACAGCATGACTGTGGCTTGGGAAAGGATGCAGAGAAGAGGAGCACACACAGCCTTTACCTGCCTCCAAAAGCAATGACAGGGCAGTCTGCAGCACCATACTGCTGCTTAAGCTCAGTAATTAGCACTGCGTAGTCAGCGAGGGCTTGTTCCACAGTAAGCAAACTGGTCTTCTTCAGCTGTGTTGACTCAAGTCCAAATGGAAGAGATTTCCCATAGTACCTCTGAAAGGCAAGAGATATGCTGAGGATATGCTGGTGTCAAGGTATGGGTCTTCTCTGTTCTCACTATAGAACTGGGATAAGTGCACAAACAGGAAGAGATAACGGAGCATGTGGTGTCCTCCAACTTGTTTGTAACTGAGGAAATGCCTTGTCTCCTGCATCTCATAAACAGAGACCTTCAGGATGTATCCTGTAGAGGATGGATAGTCCATGACAAGCTACTTCAGTGGGTGCCAAGTGGGCCCTCGGCACACGTCTGTCTCCTGAAATCCCCAACTAGAAAAGGGAACAGGGTAATCTCTTCATGCATAAGTTGTGGAATAGTAGATTTAGTAGAGTGGCATGCCCAAGGAAAGGTTGGCTTGGGACTTTGCAGGCTAGAGAGTAATTTAAAGGCTAACAAAATAACTCTCTAGTCCATTGTGGAGTTCAAGGCCCATGGAAACTACTTACAAAAGCACTGGTCTAAAGTAACTACACCATGGCATAGGTTTTACTGAAACAGTAGTCTGTATCCTGGATTGCTGGTAGGCATAGTAAAAAAAAAAAAATCAGAAGCCATGGTTAAGTAAAGAAGAGCTGCTACCATGAGAAGAAACCTTACAGTAGGTATACCACAGCTTCATGGCAAGAGATGTTATTATTCTTCTGGATCTGCAGAAAGCTGAATTTGGTAATACTGAACAGAACAAGAGTCTATAGTATGCATAATGACTAATATACTCACATGCTCAGCAAAAATCACAAGTGCTTGCTGTTCCTCTGCTAACTCAAATATGAAGTCGGAGTTCTGAGCAAAAGTCCAGATGTCACCTTCATTGCCAGTATAGAAAAAGATAGGTCCAAATCCTTTCTTCCAGAACTTTGCTAAGTGAGACAATTGACAGAAGCAAATTAAAAAAGCAAAAAAACCCACCAACACATGAGCATGAAATGACTCTACTTCTGGTGAGTTTGGGCAGGAGCTTAACAAGGAAGAACTCTGTGAACAGGCTGATCCCTGAGACCCAAGCTGGGGCATAAAGGTGTGAGAAAACTCAGGCTACAGAAATCTCTCATTTGAGCAGGGGTAAATAAGAGCTTCCACGAGCCCAACACGTGGCCTGAAACTTCTACCCGAAAATCCCTAAAAATCTCAGTTCTGCAAGGAACTACCTTCTGCAAGGCAGCTGGAAACAGCTACCCCCAAAAAGAGAGATTTCCCATTTAGGTACCATTTTCAGCCCAACTCATCCCAAAACACTTGCACAGATCACTTTTCCCACAAAATGGACATTAGGGAATTGCCTGCATCTTTCTGCTGCTCCTGCTGTGACCTATAACGTAGAACCAAGCTGTAAATCATGTATCATAGAATGGTTTGGGTTGGAAGGGACCTTTGAAGATCATCTAGTCCACCCCCCCTGCCATGGGCCAGGACACCTTCCACTAGATCAGGTTGCTCAAA